CCAGAGAGAAATTTCTTTCTCGCTAAAATCGAGTATAGTTGGGTGAAAAATATTCTAATATAGAATAGATCCTCATATAGAATATAGAATTAATCCTTGTCGGAGTCATTTTGACCCAATTACAGAAATGAAATATGGAAAAAGGTCGAAAAGTGTCGAAAGGTTAATTGTTGAAAAATTTTACAAAAAAAAATGTGATTTTATTTGTAAAATAAATTTTGAGTGATTTCTAAAGTGCAATTTCACAGTGCACTGACTTCTCCTTTATTTTGTCTTTGATTTATTGTTCTTTTTCTTCGAAAGTTTATTTAAAGCGTTCATAAAGGATAGTAATCGCGTCTGGTATAAAGCGAGGCGCAATTTCCCTTCTCCGAACGTCCAGCCACGAAGTTTGTTGTTTTTCATTTTCTCGATGCTCCGCAGCCGATTTACGGCTCTTTGAAGATCTCTCCTTTCGTTTGCTCGGTGCACTGCTCGATGTATCCCGCGACAACACGTTCTCACAATCGTTTCGAATGTTGTTTCATGCATTCGGATGCTAAATGAGCACGAGGTTTCATTGAAGATATCGGTCTGCTTGTTTTTCTTGAAACGTAGCTTTGCGGTTGAAGAATACCGTTCGAATTCGATGATAATAAACCGACGATGAACTAGAAATATCTATTCAATTATACCTACTCGAGCATCGAACACCGGGAGATCCTAATGATTGTCTTCAGCAATTACTCTGTTCAACGCGTAATAAGTTTATCGTCGATAAAACGTTCATTCGTTGACCCTCGAAGAGTCTGGGTCAATCGAGACCTAAACTTACTTAAGGTTAAATATATAACTTTAAAAGGAAGGAGTTTCATATATTAGGAGAATAATTTTTACATGAAATACAAAATTGAATTAAAATTGGGGCTCTCTTCATGGTCCGTCGTCCTAGGGTGAAAACGTTCAGATTCAAATATGTTGGAAAGCTTTGAAACTATTGTATTATTCTTTCACGATACATTAAACGTGCCGTGGCATACTTATTCTACAGTGCAATAGTGCATATTATTTTAGTTTCTCAGAAATTGTCTGAAGTTTTCCGAAGGAAAGATTTAAGAGTAGTGGATGCGTCGGTGAATAAATTGAAATTCACGGAGTTGCCAAAATTCACGTTTCCACCGTCATACATTCTGTTCTATCGAAATATCTTTTCTTTCTCAAAAAGATCTATTATGTATTTATAATTTCAAGTAAAATAATTCCTCGCGATATTTATCGCGCGTCGATGACTCCCCGCGGCGGTTCTCGGGTTGAATAAATTATCACAGCAAAAAGAGAAATATTCAAAATATTCTGTCACAGATTTTCATCGGATCCGCAGTTCGATGTCGCAACAAGGTAGTCAGCTGATTTTGATCGATTCGAAATAACCGTCTTGATCGATTGTTCCCAACGAAGAAATGACGTGGTTCCTTGAAATATTCCGATGCGTTGAGTTACGATCTTAAAACTGTCGTTCTTTCGTAGAACTTCTATTTTCTTCTGCGACACCAGGCGCAAGTTGCGTTCTTGGCACCGAAGGCCTGCCGCTGTTGCATACTCGAACGTAGTCCTCGTGGACGTCGTTTTAAAGAAAATCGTGTACCAGATGGATAACCAACGACATCGTGAGAGAAAAAGAAAAAGTTGCAAGGAAAATTACCGGGCCCATTCGTTTCTTCAAACACGACACGTGTACCGACTCGTAATTCAACGAGTCGTTCCACTTTCTTGATCTCTAAGTAGTATAGCCATACGACAACGTAAACAAGCATCGACGTTATCGGTGATAAATTTCTGCTGTCGGTCGGGATTTAGGATCCTACTATCCAAATATTAATAAATAAATAAAAGGATTTTTTAACATTTTCCAAATCGATACACTTAGCAGAGTGAAATAATAATAAACTGAAATTCTCAAGTATACTTCCGTTAATAATCTATTCTAAACTCGATTAGTAAACTTGAAATTGTGAGAGGGAAAGATTCCGCGAAACGCGCAACCTTTAAAGTGTTAACAACATCGACAGCTATTGCAGATACCCGCGCTCTACCGAAGTTCAGGATCGTTTCAGAATAACAAAAGTGAACAAAAGGGCGGGTAATTTCTTTTGATCAAACGTGTCAACCTCGTTCAAACGACGTACCTAGTAATTCAACCAACCTCTTCGTTCTAAACACGGTATCGACAGGTTGGAGGCGTTCCCTTTTCTCTTCATCCCCCCCCCCCCCATACCCCCGACCAGGTTTTATCGCGCTGCAGCCTCTTTCGACCTGGGTCACAGACGGATCACGGGCCAGTTCTATGTTTATATATAGGATGTTTAAATCGAACCGCGTGAGCGGATTTAACTTTAACACGACGACAAGGTCGCTCCAGCTTGTCACAACACTGTCGTGGACTAGCGTGACTCCGTCGTATTTTCGGGTATTCGGGTAAGACGAATCGGCCACCGGTTTACCGTTCAAGGACGGGTGGAAAGATAAATCGAGAATCATCCCGTAGAATGTACCATCCCTTGAAACCGTTGAATTGCATTCTGATTGAAATTAGGTAAAATTTGAGGGATTAGGGAGAATATGGGGTTGCAGAGACGAAGGACCGTGGTCGGTTTAGCGGGCCGGAAAGATAAGAACTTGTCCGGTTCGGTATTCTGGAACAGCGCGGACCGCAAAGTAGTTCTCGTGACGAAGCGACATCCTTGGCAAAGGGCCCAGCCCTGCGAGCCTGTCACCGATGCGAACTCGGCAAAATCTATTTCTAGTTCGGCCGATAAACTCGGCTTCGGATACGATTCGTAAAAAGAACTGGCTGTATACATAGTTTCTCTCCCGCTACCTATTTGTTTCTCCTTCGCGCTGCAACACCTTCTGAATTAGCCTTTCAAAGTCACGCTCGGCGGAGAATTTCTTTGATCGCGAAACCGTTTAGGGGATGCTCGTGAGTCGTTGAACGAGACGAGTAGGAGGGAAAAGTTGAGATTTCAACGGGCCGCGTGTGAACGGGGTAGGCTGTAAATTTGCCGGAAAAGTTACGTCGCTTAATTATTCCAAACGCTTTGGTAACTGTTTCTAACGGAAGAATCGACGTGACTGGGGTGTGAAATTTTCCAAGAGGGTGCTTTCCAACAGGTGTGTCGCGAAAATTCTACTATTTTTATTTTATCGTATAAAATGCTTGCAAGCTTGCAGTATAAATAAATGTTTGTCGTTCCTTAATTAAAATCCACAAGGACTACCCGTTCGATAGAAAGGGTTACCGCTTCGATTCTAATCATACCCTGGCACATTATCGACGCGATTGTCCGCTGCACGCCGTCTATTATTCATCGATTCACGAAGGATGAACGGTTAAACGTCAACAGAACCGAATTCGATTTCCGTTCTGCACTTTAAACGGTTCACCAATTGGTCACGTAACATTCAGGATAATTTCATCGGGCACGTTGCCGTCGTGTTGATCAACAATGGCCATTGGCCTGGAGTTTAACGGGCCAGGGAGAGATGTTCCTTCGTATTTTCAATTTCCTCTTCGTTAAACGCGATTGTCCTTTGCAGAATGTTTAGGCATTAGCGAAGATTGACGGGGACGTAGGTACGGTAGCCGTGGAACGCGATTCAATTCGACGTTCTCGTGGTTGACATTTCTCTCGAATTCTGATACGACGTCGGTACTCTTGCGACGCCGCTCGAAAATTGTCGCCTTCGAAATTTGCGCGCCAATCAGACCCGTTCGCGTTCGCGTAACTAAGATTTTTCTTAAGGTCGGCTCGCTTCTCCTAACTTTATTCCAAGTGCCGAGTAATAAGTTTAGGAATTCTCCTGACAACCCTTATTTAATATGTACCATTTTGGAATCTTTATTAATTGAACATCCTCTTTTTAATAAACTTCGCACGAGCAGTTTTCTCGTGAAAGTATCTTGAATCGATATTTATTTTTATAAGAAGGGCTTGCAATGTTGCAACCCCTTGATGATAATTGCAATCTTTCCACGCGAGCTTTCGGTTCGTTGAGCAATCGAGAAGGGCTGAAAACACTTGGGAAATTTAATCCCTTAACGACCCTTGTTACATTTGCTTTGTTATCGCTTGCAATGTAATTCATTATTTCCTGTAAATATTTCTGAAGATTTTTGCTGGATACATTTTAACCCGCTAAAGGGTTCATTAAGTCGGTGGTGGGCGTATTAATTTCTCTCTGGCAACGTGGACGGAGCGTCTGGTGTACCCGCATACATACTAATTTTAGCATCACACGTGTAGATTTACGGCAGAAGGCACCCTTTGAGGCGCGCAATGAAAAATGTCCAAAACCGTCGCCGAGTTAGAAACGAGCCGAATTAACCGAGGCTTACGACGTCTGCGGCAAACGAGCTTAATGGGCGGCACCAAAATATTTTATGGTGTGCACTCTAAGACCGCCGCCAGATTTAGGACGAAGGTCGCATTGGGAGCGCGAATTTTCGTGATTTCGATGCTCCGTTAGACATCTTTTCTCTTCGATGCTTGAAATCTATTTTTTGTTTTTGTTTTCATTCGTTTTAATATCGCCATAATAAATTTGTCGTCGGACTTGTGTTTCTTCCTATATCCTCCCACGCGATTCGTTCCTAACGCGTCTGTTAATTTTCAAAAATCGACGACTTATAAATACTTGTACGTTTACTTGTGCCCGTTATAACTTGTCTATCTCTACCGCGTGGCTGACAAGAAAAGATAATTTCGGACAAAGTCAGAAAGCATGCCAACCACGCGCTCTAATGAGCCGATGAAAATTCACTGTAGTACCAGATGCTCGCTATACTCTGTCCTTTCATACATTCCAGCAATCCGAAATTTATTTTAGAGGATCTGACTTGTTTCAGAAATTTCGAATTGTTGAAATATTCTTAGAAATTTGAAAATTTTCAAATTTTTCTACCACCCGTAAGTAATGCGATATCGCAAAGACTGATATTATTCTGATCGATTTGTTCGCAGATCGAAGTTTTTTAGTGGCCAACGCTCAACAAGGACTATGTCACATAATATATTGCTCGGACGGTTTCTGCCGGCTGACGGGCTTTTCGAGGGCGGAAGTGATGCAGAGACCGGCGATTTGCGAGTTCCTTCATGGGCCAATGACGTCCCCCCATGCGGTCGCAGCCCTTCGCGACGCCCTCGCCGCCGGCGTCGAAAAGCATTTCGAGATCCTTTACTACAGGAAAGACGGTGAGTCGTGAAACATTTCTTCGACTTCACAATTATCTAATCGCGCACCGGTACTCGATATCCTTCGCTTTTATCTATAACCGGCCATCTTATTGATTTTACCGCAATGTTTACCTGCTTATCCATGACAAACAGCCGAGTCTACGATTCCGTGTCCTTTCTGTCTACCTTTTAACTAAGGCGAATGGGTCGTTCGTTTTTCATCGGTTCTCGCGAATTTCATTTATCCGTCGACGTTACAAATTCTCAGGAGTGTAAGAGAAAAAATTTGGGTATCAGCCGCAAGCCGGTGAGATTTCCGGGAATCGAAGAATCCGTAGGAAACGGAATGCCGGACATCCTGGATTCCTATCCGGTGTGTCGACTAATCCCGTCTTGGCAAGACCTTACAGCTTTCCTAGGGACATTGTTTCTTGGATTTTCAAGAATAGGCTAAGCGATTTGTGTGTTTGCCAAGTGGCCTCTCAGAAACTGTCTGATATTTTCTCAATGTTTCATTGTCTATTGTCATCGGTACACTAAATATAATATCATAAATTTATCGCTCGCTGAGTAATGAAAATTGTTTAAGAAAAATAAAGAATAGCCACGAGGATGATTCGCGTACATAGTTTTCCATTTGTCAAATTTACGACGACGTGGAAATACGTACGAAAGATAATTTAGTATCCGACGAACCGCGAGGTTTTCAACTGCTTCGAACAGCTGTAAAGTTTCCTTTAAAGTACTTTCCGTTAATCTTGGAAAGCGGTCAGTACTGTTAAATGTTTCCACTGGTGCCTTAGTTTAAAACCATCTTTACTCTTCCGCTATACCCTTGCTTTATTACCCATTTGTGTAAAGTTTATCATTTCAATAATTCCTTTCGCTCTGCTATTCCCGCCAACGTGTCTGCAGTTAAACGACGAAATCGATACTGTCAATTTGCACGAACTAAACGGCAACTAATAATACTCAGCCGTATCTTAGATACCGTGTTGATGAATTAAAATATGCAGTCAGAAACGCGGGTCAAGGTCGTCGAATTCGGTGACTTGAAAGGGCAATTTTCTGTCACTTTCTTTCTTTCCTTTTCTTTTTTTTTTTCTTTTTTTTTCAACCGCGATATCTTCAGGGAGACATTTTTGACGACACGGAATAATTTCCGATCGATGTAATCGAAGAAGGGTAGTGATTTTTCTGGACACGAATCACTGATACGTTTCCCAAGGGTTCGTAAGGACTGTTTCGTTATTTAGAGCGGGAAAATTGAATTTATTCTCGGGTCGATGCTTGGCTCGAACTCGATTTTACCGTAGTGTCTGACCTTAGGCGCGGTGAGATCGATAGTAACTACTGTATAATTTATCATAGTCATAGCTCGAAGCCCACTGGCCCACCCGAGTTACCCTGCTTCGGTCCCTTCGCCGTTACATTTAGATTTACACACACGAACAATGGAAACCAATACGTTCTTCTCAAATTATTACCGATTTTCTTAATTTTCATCTTCGAAACTCGACCAAAGACCGATCAATTTTTCTCCTATTTTTCCATCCAAAGTTTTCGCTATTTTCTTTTCTACTCGCATTACTTTCTTTTAGAAGGTCTGCGAGAATTTTTTTGACAGAAGTAATCGGGAAACCGAGGCGAGAGCAAAATACACACGCGCGATGAGTTGAAAAAGAAATGAAAGAATAGGGAAAGAGGGAAAAGCCGTAAACACAGTGTTACATGTCTCGGCTAGCGAAGTCATTTATTATTTACTCGTCGTTTCGCGAAGATGATAATAAACGATTGATCGAATACTCCTGTAAATCGATCCGCTGCATTGCTATTTGCTGTTCACCCAACTACGCTAATCCACCCCGCCTGTCCTGCAATACGTTTCCTCTGTACGGTACTTACTTTCAGGATTTATTTCATTTAACATTTGGGATAAGTTTCCGAATGGCCCTACCAAAATTAAGAACTCAGGTTCGGTATATAACCTAAATTGATTACCAGAAACCGATTAAAATTGATTTCAGAGTTGGATGTCTTACCATTTTCGAGATATCGTGGTACAATTTTGTACAATTTTGTATAGTTTCCGAATGGCCCCACCAAAATTGAAAACTCAGGTTCGGTATATAACCTAAATTGACTACCAGAAACCGATTAAAATTGGTTTCAGAGCTGGATGTCTTACCGTTTTGCAGATATCGTAGTAAGAAATTTTTATACAATTTTGGGACTACGTCTGCGCTATTCGATACTGCGCATGCGCTATTCAATACTGCGCATACGCTATTCAATACTGCGCATGCGCTATTCGATACTGCGCATACACAGAAGCTAACCTAATCTAACCTAACCTAACCTTACCACGATATCTCGAAAACGGTAAGGTATCCAGCTCTAAAACCAACTTTAATCGGTTTCTTGTAGTCAATTTAGGTTATATACCTAACCTGAGTTCTTAATTTTGGGGGGGTCATTCGGAAACACAGCCAACATTTGTACCAATTTGACAATCTCCTATCTCAATTGCATCGTATCAATCGTCAGATTTCTCCGTTGATCGACGCGAAGGAAATGAACGTCTGTCAATAGATAGGGGTTGAAATGTCAGCATTTTATTACGCTGCTCTGCATAGTACGCATAGCCGTGAGTGTAAAGTTTCTCGATACTGACCTTGGGACCTGCTGTGCAACCTTGACGGATTCCGAGAGTATGGAAAATTAATCGATCAAGTGCGGAGTTTGAAACTATGACTCGCCGCACGGACTGGACAAGTTTAGTTATAGCGGTGTTAGGTTAAAGGATCGCCGAAAGGTATCCCTCGGATTCGCCACTAAAATATTAACCGTATCTTTTCAATTCGCTCGATGAATTCCATAGAAATCATGATACAAAGTAGAACGATCTGATAAATTCGTCGACGGTTAGGATCAGCCGTTTTTATTAGGAGAAATCGACAGTTCCTGTTTCCCAAGAGTATCGATATCGCTCTTCATCAGCCACATCAGCAGCTGTGGCCATTTCGCGAAGACCTCCTCGAGAGTGGTCTCTCAGGTTGTTACGCAACCGTATATACGAGCACGAGGACGGTGTTTGAAACGGCCAAGAATAGCCCCGCTTCTGTTCCATCCCCTTCTCTTGTTCCTGAAACGCCCACCCTACCCCTTCCGTCGATCGTACCCCTTTTCGTGTGTGTCCCCACCAGGTATGCCGTGTAGTCAATGACATCACGGAAAGCCGCTCGACTTCCCTTTCTCGCTACATCCGGCACACCTAAGCTACTGTCGACAGGTGACGTTACACCAGATGCTTTACCTCTCTTTCCCCTCCCTATCCTCGCGTCCCTCGCTTCCTGCCTCTATATTTCATCGTCTTACAAGGAACTCTCGTCACCTCAACGTACATTTTTCCTTCTCATCCCTTAACCAATTGCCGAAGTTTTAGTTTTAAAATCGTGTCCAGAAACGCACTTCTTTTTAAATTGTTTATTACTGCTATTGGAAATTGAGTGTCAGTTTAGAAGTGAACATTTTTCCAGCTTTTCCAGGAAAAACTTTTCAACTGACTGGAAGGAAATGTATAAAATGCCATCGTTTGATCATTAAAGCAACTCACTGAAGAATTAACAAATAAACTAATAATGTTTCTTTTTTTTATTAATGAAAGTATGCAGGACGTCTATAACCGTCGTTTGCGGCGACGGATTAACTTCTATCGAAAAGGTGACGAATATAAAAGCGTCTCAGGCCAGTGACACCTCGATGATCGTTCGAATCCGCGTCGCTGTCCGATCGTCTCGCGCTACGCCGTCAGTTGGTCGCGAGGACGCTGGGGAAGGCTGTCCTCCGAATTTCGTACGCTTCGCCGGGGGAGCCGAGCGCTAAGACACTGCCTAAGGTGCGAGCCTGCAGTCTTCGTAACGACAGCGAGCCAACATTAGTGTCGCTCGTTCGTCCGTGATTTTCCTCGGATTCTCTTCGTTAGTGCGCGCAGTTTAAATTATTAATCAGCAGTGACGAGGGGGGAGGAGAAAAGAAATGCGTCCCTCAGAGATTACCGTGTCAAAGATTGATACCCGTAAATATCCGAATGTCAGCTTGGCAAGAGATTAAAAGAAAATCGTGGAAATATTAGTTTCTCGAGCACGTCGATTCACTGCCCTCTTGGGAGGAACGTGTCGTTGTTCCTCGCTAACATTGGAATCGATTTGCTCGCAAAGGGAGCCGGAGACGAGCCAGAGAATAGCGGGATGAGCTGTGACGTGGAGAGCCCGGATGAACAACGCGAATGGATCCCCATGAAATTGTAGGTTAATTTTACTTGCTCTCGCGATTCCAATCTCTCTCTGTCTACCTCGCCTACCTTGTTCGGCCACCGAGGCTTCGAAGTTGCCTCATTAAAGAACGCTATTACCTCGTGGCAACCCGGCTGGATTTTCATCGCAAAGTGTACCGCACCGCCTATCATTTTACCAGCAGTTTTATGAATTTCGTTCCTGTTACTTGAATGGCTTTTTCTCCCCTTTCGTTTTGGTGTTACTTGTTTCGTTGCTGATTCCGTTCTCTAGCTCGTCGAGAGTTTCGACACGTTCGGTGTCGTTAAAGGGGGAGGCATTCGATCTTCGCCGAAAAAAGGAAGTTGACATTTTTCGCAGGTGTTCGTTAAAATAACTGTGGAACGGTGACATTTGTCAACAGCCTTTTCTGTTCTGATAAAGGCAGAACGGTTTTACAAGTGGAGCTGAAAAGCGAGCCTAAGAACTCGTCGAAGGGCAGGAAACGAAAAGGTCAAACCGGACCAAGCCCTTCTCGCGACAAAGGATGGGGTTCGTTTGCGGATGGGGAAGGTCGAATTCACGGCAGTCCGTTCGATATAATCCAATCTTTTGTTATTCGGAAGGAAAGAGGTGTAGGAACGTTGAAGATAAGAAACATTGTCGGCTAAAACCGTCCACTTTTCGCGATAGATCGGCCCGATAGCCATTCGAGATCGCGGACCTCGTGTGTGGAGAACCTTG